AATCTTTTTATTATGTTGTATTTTAAATTAATTCGCTAAAAGATTTTTAAAATAGAACAAAAATAAAATATTGCTAATATTTTTATATTATTTATTTATATTTTTATTTAATTTTTATATTTATTTATTTATATATTTTTAATTTATATTTTATTTAAAAAATGATTTTAAATTCAGTTTAAATTACAGTAATGTTTTTATTATATGATGATATGTGATATGATACTCATTAATCTGTTTAGATCATTAAATAATAAAATCTTTTTATGTTAAAGGATATGGAAAATGTGGAGTAGCAGTAATTCGAATATCTGGTCCAAAAGCATTAGTAGCTTTAAAAAGAATGACAAAAATATCTGAATTAAAACCTAGAATGGCTCTTTTAAAAAAAATCTATGATCCTGAAACAAAAGAAATGTTAGATAAAGGTCTATGTCTTTGGTTTCCAGGTAATGAAAATGTAATTTAATTAAATAAAATTTAAATAAAATAAATTGAAAATAATATATGTGAATTAATATAAAAAATTAAATATGAACAATTAATTTAGGACCTAATTCATTTACTGGTGAGGATTGTATAGAATTTCATGTTCACGGTGGTCTTGCAGTAATTACATCAATCTTAAATGCTCTTGCAAAACTACATTTTCAATTAGCACTTCCTGGTGAATTTACAAGAAGAGCATTTTTAAATGGAAAATTAGATTTAACTGAAGCAGAAGGCATAGGTGATTTAATCGAAGCAGAAACTGAGAAACAACGTAAACAGGTAAAAATGAAATCAATCTGATAAATGAAATCATTCTATAAAAATACTTTTTTATCATTTCATATCATTATATTATATATTATATCATATATATTAAGAATTATATAATTGTATTATAATATTCATATTATATTATATTTTCTACTAAAATCTTAACAGGCTTCTAATCAAATAATTGGTTCTCTTTATCATATCTATGAGTCATGGCGTACTATTCTTTTAAATATTCTTGCTAATTTAGAAGCTTATATTGATTTTGCTGAAGAGCATGATGTAACTTCTAATATCTTAGAAGATACTAAAATTAACATTCAAAAATTATATGTAAAAATACAACAACATCTTTCTGATGAAAGAAAAGGAGAAATTTTACGTAATGGAATACATGTAACAATTCTTGGAAAACCCAATGTAGGAAAAAGCAGTCTTTTAAATCTTCTTTCTAAAAAAAATGCAGCTATTGTTACATCTTTACCAGGAACAACAAGAGATATTATAGAATTAACAATAGATATTTGTGGATATCCAATGATCCTTGCAGATACTGCAGGAATTAGAAATGATCCAGAAAATGAAATAGAAATAGAGGGTATTAAAAAAACAAAGGAATATTCAAAAAAAGCAGATTTTATTATATGCATAATTAGTGCAGAAAATAATATAAACACATCTTTGGAAGATTTTCTAAAACAATATAAAAATTTTTTGAATATAGATAAAAAAAGAGTTCTTTTAATATTAAATAAAATAGATTTGATTAAAGAAGATGAAATAGAAAGTTGGAGAAAACAAAATGTTATTCCTATATCTTGTAAAACACAAGAAGGTTTAAAAGAACTTATAAATGCATTGGGACATTGTTTTGAAGAAATGTGAGTATATATATATATATAAAATTGAAAATTAAATATAAATTATAAATAATTTATTAAATGTTACAATGAAATATTTATATTTTTACTATCTTATTTTTATTATAATTATTATAAATAGAACTTGTTTATTTTATCAATTTATATCTTTAATTTCAGATGTGGAAATCCATGTAAAGAAAATCCTGTTATCAGTCATGCTCGATATAGAAATCATTTATTGCATGTTTTAGATTATCTTAAATGGTATTTAGAAAAAACTGAAATACCAAATTATGACATGGCTATATCTTTGCAGGATATTAGAAGTGCAGCAAGAGAACTTGGCAAAATAACTGGTTCTATTAATAATGAAGAAGTTCTTGATATTATTTTTAAAAATTTTTGTATTGGAAAATAAAAATGCATACATTTAAAAATCAGTATTTATACTTGGTATTTATTAATGAAAATGAAAAGTCATAATCATTATTTATGAAAGAATATATAGCACATTTTTATAATAAAATGTAAAAAAAAATTCTGTTAAAGAATTTAAAATTATTATTAAAGACATTATTGTCAATTTTCAGTTTTCTTTTCTTGTTCTGTTCCTAAATGAGCTATATTTATTCATCCAAATTTATGTTTTGATCTTTCATTGCTTGCTGAAACATAATAATATATATTTTTTAAATTGTACCAAAATAACAATTGTTTAATAGTAAAATATAAATAATAATAAAATTTGTATATTTGAAATATTTATTAAATGTAACATAACACAAAATAATTATATAAATTTATATTGACTTTATATAATTTCAAACATAGAAATTAATAATAATCACAGAATTCTTAAAATTATTGAAATCTTGACAAAAATTAAATTTTTACATTTGCATTTAATATACGAAATTTATTAATTTATATATATATATATAATAATAAATAAAATATATTTTTATATTTTATTTATAATTTTTATTATATCTATTTTAAGATTAGATTTTAAGATCTAAAGTTTATAATTTTAAAATGTAAAAATTAAAATCCAAATAATCATACACATTTCAAGTAATTTTTTTACACTATTATAAAATAAAAACTATACTTTAGATATAAAAAAAATAGGTAAAAGTCAGGTTAGAATTTCAAAAATAAAGAAAATTAATTTTTGTCATATTTAACTTACCGCTACACATTTGGTATAAACTTTAAGTAATGGTGCACATTCACTATCATCATAAATTCCGCGTAAAAATTTTTCAGAGAACCAATCATTAAAACAACGATCATATTTTGCTTTTAATTCTTTACAAGCTTCCATAATTTATTGTTGAATTTAATTAATTGCACATTAATTTAAATATTAGTGAAGTGAAAATTAATATTATATTATTAATTAATTATAAAAATTTTGCTTGGTTATTCATTGTGTGATTTCAAAAGAAAATAAAATTGTGCAATCCATACATTCCATGCATTACAAATGATTATTACTGTGCACAACACATATTGCATTATTTTACATATTTTTAAGATTTAATTTAAAGAAAAATAATATAATTATATTTTTTACAATTATTTATATTTTAATATATTTATAATTGTAATTGAATCCATTTTTACAAAATTAAAAAAAAAATTTCCAAGAAATTATTTTAATATTTCAATTTCATGATACATACATTTTTATGATATATACATATAAAATTGTAATTTTTTTTATTTTTAAATTGAATATTTAATTCAAATGGAATTTTATAAAGAGAAAAAAAGTTTGATTACCTGAAGACATTGATTATACAATTTGAAATGATTTGAACACATTGAATCATCTAAATCTCCTTTAAGAAATTTTTCAGAAAACCAAAGCTTAAAGCATCCGTCATATTCTTTTTTGAGATTATTACAAACTTCTGCAATACTATTCATTTAAT